TTCAAACTTCTTAAATGGTACCAGAAAACAGATGGATGTTCAGGAACGAAGCTTTAATTTTTACGTTGCTCCACATTTTTGTAGGGCTTGAGTGATTCTCTGACATCAGTTTTAGAGGAATCATAAAAACTAATGACCATCTGTGAAGTACTCTGAGACTTAAGGATTAAAGGTACACCTTGAAACACTATTTTAAATACCACCACTTTAAGAAATAACAAATGATGGGAAGCATCACTACTACTATAAACCTATCAACAAAACCAAAGCTACTCATTCTCCAAGTCAGCTAAGACTTTATATACTACCACCCACATAAAGGGAAGAATCTTCCCACTACTTAAACCACAGCCCTCACCATATATCAAACAATATACCCTATCATTTATTCTAGCCAAACTCACAGTATCATGTTACGACAAAGACCAAAAACTTATTAACAAAAAAATAAATATAACTAAATACAACTAAACACTTTACTTCTATCGAATAGGTATACCCAATCTTGAGAATAGCTTTATAGAACTCCATTACTATAAAGTTCAAGCATCTCTTAAACTCCAAGCACTAAATATATTTATTTATTTTTATTTTTTATTTTGGGGGGAGCACACGCGTGAGAATGGGGAAGAGAGGGAGAACGAGAGACAGAAAATCCTGAGCAGGCTCTATGCTCAGCGTAGCCCAACAGAGGGCTTGATCCCACGACCCTGGGATCATGACCCAAGTGAAATCAAGAGAAGGATGCTCAACCAACTGAGCCACCCAGGCGTCCCAACCACCAAGCATTAAATATATTTAAAACTATTCCCTTTGATCTACCCAACCTACTTTCAGCACCACTCCTTTTATGACCCACAAGACTGAAATTATACCATGCACAGGAACGTATTTTTAAAAGAAAGCTCTAAAATGAATCACAGTTGATTTTCATGTTTTTCTACTAACCTTAACCAATTTACTATTGTCAAAGTTCAGAAAACAGGCAGTAATAATAGGATCTAAAGGCCTACAAAAAATGTGTGAAAATTCATTTACTTATTTTTTTCCTAATTGGGCAATAAGGCTGCCATTACTTGATCTTAAAGACAGACCAACCACATCCAGCCCACAGAACACCAGAGTTCTGCTGCAGTTCATTTTGAGAACTAATTGCATCCACATGTATCTTCACAGTGGCTTCCCACTGATTTTTGCATCTACCACCTATAGGTATTGGCTACTGCCTGAGTACCACTTTCCCCCTAGTTCTATATTATAAATGAAGAAATTCAAACAGGCTAAGCAACTTGTTCTGTCATATACTGCTAACAACTGATAGTCAGAATTTGAACCTATGAAGTCTGGATCCATAGTCTGTGCTCTGATTCATCAGGCTATATATTCTCCCCTTATTACTGATAGATATATCAGAAGCATCTTTAAAAAATGCAATATACATATTCATTGCTGAATCATAGATCATAGATTAATGCAAACTTTTAGTACCAATCTATCCTGTTTAACAACAAAAATAAAGTGGCATATTAATAATAGGGCCAAAATGTAGTTCTCTTGTAGCTTGACAAAATAGGGATTTAGCAAATAAAGGGAAGTAGACATTCAATGGCCAGAATTACCCAGCAAGAAACAGCTGAGCTGGTTGTTTCATTCTTAAATGGCTTTTTTTTTTCCTTTTGGACAGCTGTTGTCAAATATCTGTATGTAAAGCACTAAAATTTGAGAGCTAGAAAAGTCTCAAACTGGGTATCGAAGTAAATGATGTCACAGAATGTGTGAAACAGTTTTAAGAGATTTAATAGAGGCTAACCACATTTACTTACCAAATTTATGCAAATAGTAAAGCTGATAATTCTGGGGAATCAAGGCTTAATTTGATAATTAAAGAATACAAGCAATACTGTAAAAGAATCCTGATGGGAGAGATGAATGCTACTGTTCTGGGAGGTACCAGTCTCTTTACAATATACAAAGTAAAAAAAAAAAGAACACAGCTGATGGTATGTTATTCAACACAAAGAATAGCCAGTAAGTACAAAATAGCTCTAGACATGGGTTTCAGCCCTTGCTCTCCTACCTACTACCTGTTGTTGCTTGGGAAATGCATTCACCTTAAACTGCAGTTTCTAGTCTGTGTCATGGACCTTGCAGGTTTGTGGAGTGTATCAAATTAGATTAAAATATATGTAAATCTGCAAAGTGTACTGTGCTATACAAATAATGACGATAAAAGGCAAAGGAGTAATTTTTTTGTATTTTGTAACTTAATTCGTTAAACAATTATTTTTGCAGTATCTACTATGTACTAAGTACTACTAACACTTAAAGATTCTTACCTAAGGAAGTTAATCATAGAGTGGGAAACAAACTGGTAAGCATATCAATTGCAATATGGGGTACTAGGAAAGGAGTACAGTGAAGCAGGGTTCCAGGGAACCAAGGAACAGAAATATTAAATGACTTCCTCAAAGATAAATACTTAAAAGGTACTGGAACAGGAACTAAAACCAAGACTTCGCATAGTAAATCCAGAATACCTTTAACCCACAGAATCTCAGTGCGTCAGAATACTGCAATATGGTATGTGTTCTTCAATGCTGAATATCCACCTTTCAAAATGTATTAACTGAACTCCAAGCCAATTTCAAATACCTTGTGCCTGGTCAAATGGTAGGTAGGACTCCTTAAACCAGTGCATGGTCAAGTAACCATAATAGATCCAGGACGTCCACATTCCTTTCCAAAGTTAAGTGTGTTATGTGAGAGACAATTCACGATAATTTTAATTTGTCTCTCACTGTCACCAGTAACGCTCTCTGAATGGTAGTTTCTAGAACTGCTACACAAATAAGCTTTTAAACTATTTCACTGTAGTTGAAATAGGAAGCCCTGATTCCTACAAATATTACTGTGTGTCTTTCTGAGATCTTAGAATCAGTAACTGTCACTTGGCATTAGATCAACTCAGTAGTAAAGCTCTATATAATTCACACACTGTTGAAAGACACATAATCACAAGTTTTTTTCCTTGAACAACTTCAATCGGGAGAAAAACCAGGACTTCTCTGCTACAACTTTTCTCCAAGAAACAAAGTAGCCTAAGTTTGGGGGATAATAAAGGGGACCTGAGGCTGAATACGCATTTAACCCTAAAATTCCCTTATCTTTTTAGTTATGTTTAACTGTGAGGCCACAGCGTGTAATTCTCTTCTCATTGGTGCTGAAATACGGCAAACCGATACTAAGATTAGTGAACTCTTCAACAGTATGTTTTAGCTTCGATGCAAAGGGTGACTCATTCTGTAAAAATGCACAAGTCAAGCGATACAGTAATATGAACATCAATTTAAAAAAAATCAATTATCGGACAAATAAACTATTCTTGGATCTTTCTAACCCAGCTCTTGTCAACGTTACGGACCACCCCAATGGTCCCTTCACGTGTCTGGTCTGGTTTCCACTGAGAGGTAGCATTTGCTTGGGGCGGAAGGAAAAAAAAGGGGTGGGAGCGGAATTCTTAGTGTCCTGGGGTGGGGGTGTCACAGCGTTTTCCCAAGGCCACCCCCTCGTCTCAAGGTACCCTCACTTTCAGTATATTGAAGGTGTACAGTCGTTTGGCCCACTTTCCTTCACAAGATCCCTCCGCTCGTATAATGACACCTCTGTTAACACTGCCGACCAAGCCGGCGCTGGCGGGTGGTGTCGGACACTTCCCGCGCAGGAACGGGAAAGGGAGGGGTGTTAGCCCAGGGCCTACTCTCTCTCGACCACCAGTCAACCGACACAACCAAAGCGAGTTCTTGAAGAAACCGATCTGGGGGACTAATCACCTGAGGTATGTATGTGAATCCCGCGCCGGGATCCCGTGCCGTGCTCTTTAATCGCAGAGATTAGACAGTCCAGCCGCAGCGGCAGCCGAACCTCAGCGTGCGCTTC